CGTGTCAGGAGATGACTGAGAGTGGATATGGGGCTCAGAAGGTATATAAGCATGTCTGCGCCCCCCATACGTGACACACGAACATCTCTGTAAGGAATTCTTACACTCAAACACTCTCTCCCTTCTCTCTATCCATCCTAAGGTGTGTGCTAACTTGACCGTCGGAGGGTTTTTCCGGCCACACACCGCCGGGTAGCTCACCATTACTTGCTCGCAGGTGATCGGACATCGACGGAGCTCGGAAGAAAGGAATACGGGCTTGCCGGAATATTTGCTCCCCGTACAGGTCCACTAAATTTAAAAACTTATTGCTACGGAAATTTATTAAAAATATTTATAGAAAATTACATTTACATAATATTACTCTAAATTTAAAAAAAAGGGTAAATTGTTGTTTAAAAAAAATAAATAAATAAATAAAACCTCATGAGATTTATTAAAAATATAAGTTGTCATCCAACTGAAGTTTTTAATCACATAACAAATTACTGTTTCATTAATGAACCGTTAAGTTAAACTAACGGAATGTATGTTTTAAGCAATAAATTTCTTTCAAATATATCTATATTAATCTTTATGAAGTTTTTTTTTTTTTGTCGTATCTCACCTTTCTTATTCTCCACTTTGCTGAACTATCGCACTACCCTCTCCCACTCTCGAGTAATGACTGTTGGAAATATATTCTCGATAATAATTAATTTAATAGAATAATAAAACAGATAAAAATTAAATACAGAACTGCAACTTACAACTTTCTGCAGAATCAAACTTAGAACAAATTTGTGATTGAGGCCAGTGTTTGGATACTGTGTCTTTAAGACAGAAATTCGTCCTCTCCTAGGTGCTTGAGAATAACGGACGTACTGCCTCCAGGATTCAACAATCACCCCAAACAAATGCAGCACTGCGTACTGTTTGTACAGCGAACCAGGCTGTGATTTTTCGAACTCACACACGATGCAAAATGAAGAACTTATGAAGCAGAGATCGGAGAAGACTGGAACGGTAAAAAAACTTTGTATCTATTGGAATGGAGGGTTGATATATATAGGCTGAGAAGTGCCTATTCCGGAATAGAAGACCGTTGTGAAGAACAGTCACCAAGTTGGAGACGCGACTGTCGGAGAAGGAGAGTAGTTGCAACCGAAAAATTTTAAATTCAAAATTTCAGATTTTGAATTTTCCGGCGGAAAATTATTCAAAAAAATTCAAATAATTTTGGAGCAAAAAATAAAGGACGGGTTAGACCCACACTCGCGCCCGGCCCGACGGCGCGTGCGTGTGGTGATGGTTTTGGGTTTGTCCATAACTCCTCCTCCTACAAAACTTGGGTACCCCTTGGGGCCCAACCCAAGGTCTCCAACTTAGAGCTTATAAACACATTGAAACTCTTCCATGTTTCCTATATGGGACAAGGTTTTAGATACCAACTCATGGGAACCACACCAAACATTTTCATGTTTATAAGGCTCACTTCGGTATCAATTTCTCATTCACTCGTAAATGGTTTTGACCACCCGAGTATATATTCTTGTTCGCCACATGGCAAGGAACGTATTGCCACTCGGACCCACCAAAACCGAGGTGTGGGGCCTACATTAACGATAGCTCAAAATTACTGAAAATTAATGGTGATAAACCATTTTTATCTAACAACGACACCATCGTTATTATCTACAAGTATTTAGTATGCCACTAGGACAGTTGAAGAATATAGTATTGGTGTAGATAGAGGAATTTGGTGATAGATGGATGAAAATAAGATTAGTTTGATAATTTTCTGATAGGTCAGTTGCAAGAAAAAAAATTTGATAATAAAATAATTGTAATTTTCAAAACGTGAAGAGAAAATATTTTAACAAACTTGATGCCGTATATTTATAATTTATCTCAAAAACAAATAAAACCATTTGATTCATCAATTTGGGGGTTTGGTAGGGAATAACAACCCTTCATACGTGGTTCAAATACCTCTCATGGGCAGTCATTCGGGTATATATAGATGATTTGAATTGTCCATTTTATAAGTTTCAGAGTAAAGATTATTTATACAAAAAATTAATTTATTCAACATTTATAAACACAAGAATAAATTATATTTTGTTCTATAAAAAAATACTTTTATTCCTCTATTTATAAATATTTGATAAAATTAATTAATGTATATGACATAAGATAAACGTGTCGAATTATTAATGTAAGCTCAAATTGAGAGTCACAATAAAAATATGAAAAATAATTGGTAGTTCGAATTTGAGTGTTTGCCGGTCGACCATTCGGTTAACCATCCGGACGACCTGTAAAATTAAGGTTTTAAAAAGCGGCTGCAACCATTACGTAACGCCGTTACGTAACGGTTTTGGCGGTTACCGCCACCTGTTACGGCCGCTTTTGCAGTGTGATTGAGATTCACAGGTGTGTCGGCCGTAGCGGCTGCCATAGCGGTCGTAACGGTGCCGTAACGGCCTGTTACGCACCGTTACGTAATGGTTTCAAACTGTTTCTTTTGAAAAAAACACACAAAAAAAAACTGAAAATGGGGGAAGAGGGATAGAGAGAAGAGGGAAGATAAAGAGAGAAAATGGAGGAGTAAGAGATAGAGAGAGAGAGAGAGAGAGAAGAGGGAAGACGAAGAACATGTTATTGATTTGTTGAAACTATAAGACCTATGCTATTCTATTGAGCTGCTATCACTAAACCATTTTGTTTGTGTATGTCTATCTATATATTATTTGAAAATAATAATAATAATAAGTGTGGTCATTATCTATTTAACTTGGTTAAAATATGTATATGTATATATATATATATATATTTAGGCTCTTATTTATTCTCTTACTTTTGTCATTGTTTATCTTATATATAATAGTTAGTGATTGATTTTTTTGTATAATATAAAGTTGTTAATTATTAAAATAAAATGTAAAAAACTCAGTTTATAATGATTTAAAAATATGAAATATATTGGATCATACTTAAAAATTTACAAAAATTGATCAATATTTATTTTTAACCCAATAAATATGATCATGGAAAAAAAATATGCGTATCGGTAAGTTTTTTTTAAATTGTGCGAAAAATAAAAAAATTCATGGTTTCGGTTACCGCAACCGTTACACTACGGCCTTTACTCCCCGCAACCGCAACCGCGTCACCGCCATCGTTACGGCGACCGCAACCGCTTTTCAGAACCTTGGGTAAAATACTTGTCTACCGCAGTTGTTACTCTTATCGACCGCGACTTTCACCTTCTTACCAATCAACCACCCGGACGATCACCTGAACAACCGGTAAAGCACTTATCCATCACGGTTTTCACCTTTATCGATCGCAGTTTTCACCTTCTTACCAGCCGAACGACCGACAAATCAAAATTTAAATGATTTCAAGCAAACTCATATTCCAATTAGCAATCAGTAATGCAAAAATATAAACAAATATAGATATGAAAGTATGGGAAAAAAATCATTCCGGGTTTCGAATGCGTATGATTGACCATACATGAAATGTTGGTCCACTGATAACTAAAAATAAATCTTAGCCGTGAAAAAAAGAGAAAGTTGTTTGATTGGCCGAAACACTATTTACAAAGGGACACGTGTACAATCATTTCTAAAAAGTTAGAAATGATTGAGACACAATCACCCAAATGATCGATAAAACACTTATCTATCACGGTTTTCATCCTTATCGATCGCAGTTTTCACCTTCTTACTAGCCGAATGACCGGCAAGTCAAAATTTAAATAATTTGAAGCAAACTCATATTCAAATTTTATTTAAGTCAATTACAATGGAAGACAGTACTATCATTAGAATAATCCCATTAATTTTTATCATAAACCAAGAAAATCAATTGAGTTCTTTTATTTTGATTGAGAAAGTGGTATATTGGTTATATCAGAGTTTCGTGCTGCTGTTGTGTTGTTGACAAGGGCTTGTTGTCATTTTTTACTTTTTTTACAAAACATAAAAAATTTATCTGACAGATCATTTTTGGAAAGGAATTCTGAAATACAGCTAACTTTTTAAAAAATGCCAAAAAATTGTTTTAAATTTTTGAAAAATAAAAACAATATGAAAAAAAATAAGTGTTTTTGGACTTCTTATTATTTTTGTTTCCATAAACACAGAAAATGAAAATGAAGGGGGAAAAAAAAGGGATAACAAACAAGCCCACAATTAAAAGACAACAAAAAAGAAGAAGAAAAATTGTAAAATAACTAAACCTTGATTTTAAAGAATTCCTAGCATTGATTCTAATAGGCCAAAAAGAACTTGAACAAATGCCTATCTGATTGCTCTAAATGACATTTCCAAACAAGCTATTCTCTCTATCATTACTTGAGTAAGAGCATGACATCTGAAGAGAAAAAAAAAAAATAAATGAGAGAAAAAAAGTAGTACAATGGAAACAATTACTAATTTTTCATTTGGCTAATTTTATACAGCATATATATAATTTTCAAACAAAATACATGATTTTGGTCCTATCACTTTAATATATAAAATTCATCAGACTGACTTGTAAAATGAAAAGTATGCATTCTCTACATACTTATTGAATGTTTAGAATTTTCCTTTCCTTATGATTGCTAGCATCTAATTTTACTGACCATATCAACTGAAATCTTCAAAACCTTTGAGAAGAGAAAATATCCATTTTGGGAAAGCTTTAGATTGTAAGCGCAATATTGGTGTAATGAACATTGGGCAGGGGGTATTTGTAATTTACTAGCTCAATGATTTTCCATTTGAACTAGATTCAAGCCTGACCAGTCCTTTTCAATTTGAACACCTATAAATTCCCCTCCACTTGGAGTCCATTTTGAAAATCAAGAGTTCCTCACAAAACTCAATACAAACCCCCCCCCCCCCCCCCCCCCCCTCTCTCTCTCTCTCTCAACCTCTTTGCTCCTTTGAAAATGGCAATATACCAACTCAATCTAGCAGAAAATTCACTGAAACCCAACAAATTCCAAACCTACTCTCAAAGACCAAATGAGATATCATTTTGGGCTTTCCTTTTTATCCATTTTCATTTACATTTCCATATTTTACATCTTCAACCTCTCTCCTTTCTCCCTCATCAACACCACCAAATTCTGGTTCTTAGTTTCCAACAGTCTCATTCTCATCATTGCAGCTGATTTTGGTGCATTCTCTTCAAGAAAAGAAGCAGATTTCTATGAAGTGTATGCAAAAAATAGCCAAGCAAATAGCATTCCATCATTGGAATCACAATACTGGGAAATTGTCAAGACAAGCATTCCACCACAAAAGGAAGAAAATTCACAACAAAGTCAAGAAAAAAACAAAAAGGTTTGTGTTGCTGTTGTTCCCAAGAGCAAATCCTTGGAAAATGAATTAAAAGTTATTGTAAAAGATGATCCAAACCAGTCTAATGAGAGACTCCGAAAAAAGATGTCAGAATTCACTCCAAAAGCTGATAATCATGAAGCTTGTAGTGAAAAGAAAAATGAAGCAAAATACGTTCGTAGCGTGTCTTGTAAAGATTTTCCAGTTAAAAACATTGAAAACAAAAATATTCTACGCAGGACAGAGTCCGAAAAGCATGAGCCAGATGAAGAAGAAAATGAGTTTGTAACCATGTCCAATGAAGAACTCAATAGAAGAGTTGAGGAGTTCATTCAAAGATTTAACAGGCAGATTCGACTTCAAGCAGCTCAAAACTGAATTTGCCAAATTTAGAAAGTCCTCCAAATGAGAAAAAAAATAATTGAGAAGAAAGGAGATTTTCCAGATGCACTTGGTTTCTTCCTTTCTTAGCACTTGGTTTCTTCCTTTCTTACATGTTTTCTTTCCTCTCCCTTGTCTTACATGTTATCATTTTGTAGTGTATATGTGGAAAATGCAATGGAGTTTTGCGCCAAGTATCTTATGATTTATTATAACTTTTTTTTTTCTTTTTCTTTTTTAATATTGAGAGGGTAATTTTTGAGAAAAATTGGGCTGAGCTGCGAGTTGGGCTTTGAGGCCCAAAACGCGAAGGACTAAGTAAAAAGGCCGTAAATGATACTCCGGCCCAGGAGAGCAAGGATACTCCGGCCCAGGAGAGCAAGGTTACTCCGGCCTTGGGGAGACAAAGTTACTCCGACCCAAGGAGGTGAAATTACTTCGGCTCACAAATGACAAAGTTACTTCGGTCAGAGGATTGTAAATGTACTTCGGTCTGGGAGCAACTTGAAGTTAGACCGGCCTTGAAGTTATATCGACCTTAGAGGTATACCGGTTTGGGGGTTATACCGGTCGAAAGTCGTTGGTTCGGTCCAAACACACCATAGGTTAAACAGATGAGAAACCGATATAAGGGAGAGTAAAGGGAAGGGCTGAACTAAGGATAGTTCGGCCTACTTTACTTCGGTCAAATGGTAGTTCGGCCATGAAGAAAACCATCCCACTTGGTTTAAGCAGTGGGGGAGGGTGTAAAAGGATAAGCATTATCCTTAGGAGTATGAATCCTAGGAGGACTCTGCAAGTAGAAATACAAGTCCTACCAGGATTGTGCCACGGGAAACTTATAAAAGCCCATAAACATCACCTTGGAGGAGGTAATTGAACATAATTCTTTGAGAACTTAGAGCTTTGTCTATTTGTCAAGTTTTCTGACTTAGGCATCGGAGAGGTTTCCGGCACACACCCGCCGGCTAGCTCACGTTTGTGTTTTCAGGTGACAAAGCGACGTCGTACGGAGGAGCGTGGACTTGGTCAACAGGATTATACGAGGAGAATTATTTCCACTTTTTTTTTTCTTTTTCTTTTTTAATATTATAATAAAACTCAATGAATAATAATAATAATAATAATAATAATAATAATAATAATAATTAAATATAACAAATTAGTACAAAGAAACTATCAAAGAGAGGGAGAAATCCAAATAAGTACGGGTAGAGAGTTTCAAATCACTAATCCCCTAATAAAATAGAAGGATTCTGGTCAAACAAACTAACTCCGTTAGTTTTACGATATATATCGACTATTCGATATTTTTAGAGGTAAATTGATAAATATAATTTACATGTATCTTACGATATATAATACGTGATGTTATGTACGATACGTAATACATAATGCGATACATACGAGACATGACTACTTAAATTTACTTTAATAATTTTTTTTAAAGTAATTAAATTTATTTTTTAAAAATAATTAGGTTTCTCTTATGTTCACATCTGATAATCCGAACCCTCACTTTTTAGGACTTGTTCAGTAAAATATTCATGTAAAAAATCAAAATAATATCGGTAGCTATATGTTTAAATCAATTTTGTATTACAAAAAATAAAAGATTATTCTTTAAATTATATTTATTGTTCATTTTTTTAAAATAAATATGATTTAAACATATAGATATCGATATCCAATCATCTTTATTTTTTACATGAATATTCTACTTAATGAATCCAAAGAAGTGAACAATTCGAATTATCGAAATCGGTTTCAAAATGGGCCTACCAAATCCAAGCGCTCTCTCAAGTTGAGATAATAATTTGAGATAAGTAAAACCCTTTTTTAAATTAATATTATTAAAAATTTGATCAACTTAATAAAAAATAATTTTATATGAGAAGGGTAAGTTTTCATTTCTTTTGTCTAGCATTTTTACAGGTCCTTACTCGTCTATAGATGTAGACATTGGCCCGTTGGCCCTCCCGATCCAGTTCTATTTTCTAAGGATTTGAGAAGATTATTTTAGCTCACGGGATCGAATTTGGCCAACATTTTCAACCCACTATATTAATGGATTGGGTTTGGGATTTATACTTTCAACCTGTAACGCCCCGAATTAAATACAACAACCCATCCACAATAGTGAGTAAAAGACGACGTATGAAGAGATAAGCACTTCCATTAATTTAAATTTCTTATACAAAAGAGCAACACATGCAACTATACATTTATAAGCCTAGCCTTGAATCTATAACATGTGTTACATGGTGAGGAACAAAACAAAAGGTAAACAAATATAAGAGAATGCCCTAAAGGCTTACAACTTTCCAAGTTAACACTTGGTTACAACAAAAATGGATTTAAATTCCAAAACATATAAAAGCCCTTGGCTTGTACAAAACAAATACACAATTAAACAAAGTGAAGCTCTTGCTCCATGTCCTCCCAAGCTATTGCCTTGGCGAAGGCATATCATCAGCACCTGAAATGTTTTTCTCACATAGGGTGAGCCAAAGTCCAGTAAAAATAAACCAAAACAACATATGAATCTTAACAAAACTATAAGAGTAAAATGCACATGCAATGCTCATGACAAAACATTTTATATCTCTTTCAAATCATGTAATGCCAGGTTTATATTACCATTCATGAAACACTTTCCTTTTTATGGAAAACTAGCTTGTGAATACAACTCTGTGAATCTCTAGGTACGTGTCTGCTAGCAAGTTATACAAGCACTACTATTTTGTCATTTTTACTGGTATTAACCAGAAGACTTGACACTTATCCACGCGGGTTTCTGGTCTTTCACCAAGGGCACACAGACCAACTTATCATAGTAACCACACCCCTACCTAAATTCATCAAGTATTCACCATTTTCTCAAAACAATGTAATTATTACAAATGTGTAAATGTGGATGAGAAATAGTTTTCATTCTCCTAGTCCTCATGCAATTTCTATAACAATCATGGCTATCCTCTACTGATAGTCCAAAACAGATATCTCTAAACAAATAAAATAATTTTCATAAAAATAAACTTTCCAAATTTCAAGATGCGAGTGGTAATACATACCCAACTCCACCATCTTAATCAATAACAATTAAATTCCATATTTCTAACATCTATATCATTATTTATAGAAAATCAACATTTAGGGCAAAACCCTTCTTCCAAAACCACTTCCAAATTTTAAAACCAACCATGTTGTCACCTCTACACCTCACTTCCCAACCCCACAATTATTTCCATGAAACCATTTGAAAACCCCTCTTTTTAGTTTCAAACCCAAACTCCATGATTTGTTCAAAAGTCCATTTCTTTCGCAAGGTGGTTTTATAAAAAACAAATAGCTAAGTTAAAACTCATAGAGATGTGCGAAGAATTCCTATCTCAAGCTTAGAAGGGTGAAAGAGAAGAACTTGGAAAAAATCGACGTCAACGAAATCACGAACCACTCGGATCAAAGGAAAGCTCTTGACGCGATTTACACTTTATCTCAAAAGATCAAGGTGAGAAGACACATCTAGGTGAGTAGATCTAAGGATTTAAGTGAGAAAAAGTGAATGTTCAGAGAGAGAGAGAAAAAGAGTTACAAGTGAGAGAGGGAAAAAGAGAAAACAACTTACGAGAGAAAGAGACTTTGGGTCTATTTATAGTGACTAGGTATTAATAGAATAGTAACTCCAAGGTTAAATGACAAGAACAAGTCAAAAATCTCCAAAAAGTAGGGCCCAAGCCGAACAAAATTTGAAAAAAGAGTCACAGAGGTTGACTGTCAACCCTCAAGAAGAAAAGTTAAGACACTTGTGTTAGGCAGCAGGCAAGGTGTCGACACTAAATTTCAGCAAGCATACTCCAAATTCTGCAATAAACAATGGTTGACCCTTCCCAGACTAGTATTGACCCTTGAGGCCAACAAAAGAAGCATGTGTTCGTGTCGACCCTAAATTTCAATAACCACCCAGGAACACAGCAGTAAGAAGGTGTCGACACCTCCCAGACTAGTGTTGACCCTTGGAACAGAACAAGGCAAGGAAAAAGAAGACGGTGTCGACACCAACAAGGGTAGTGTCGACCCCTTAAGCCAACATCAACATGAGGAGAAAGGTACGACCACCACGAATATGATTTTCTGGATTCAAAGATAATAAATGGGTCGAGTCTAAATCGAGATCACAATACAACCAAGCCCAACCAGCTATTAACTAAATTAATTAATTAATTATAATATATTAAAAAATATATTTTTGGAGGGAGCTAGACTTCATCTTTATTGATTTTATTAAAACTCAAGTTTATAGTGATGTGTGATTGGATTTATTTAAGAAATCTTTTAATTTATGCACAAAATCTTTCAACTTATAATCATGTCAGTATATATATTTAAAAAATATAATGTGCGGTTGGATTCAATTATGGAACACTGACTACAAAATGAGGATAATAGAGTAAAATCATCTACATTTCCCATCAATACATATTTTGTCCCAAAATATATATTAAATTATGACTGTATTAAACTAGAATAAAACACATATTGTGAACGATTAAGAAAATGAATTAGGATTTTGTATAAATTGGAATCACGAAACTCGATTTTCCACAATAACGCAGTTTTCTATCTATTTCTCTTCCTTACTCTTTGATTTCTCTATTATCTTTTTTTATTTCAAAAACTCTACTTTCTTACCTATTCATCCCAATTTTCAGCGCGCGCACACACACACACATACACATACACACACACACACACATACATATACATATATTGTATCATATAACTTTCAGACAAAGTGTGTACTGGTGAAAAATGTGAATACTTTTTCTCTCTTACTCTCATTTCGTGGTTATATTCTTTTCACATAGTTGGAATCTATTAAAGATTTAAACAACAAAGTAATAGAAGGGGACATTAACACTTGTGAATAAATCAAAGTGAGATTTGACTAAAAGTGCATAAAGTTGACTATCACGATTTCATGTGTAGGGACCAAA